GCCCGGCTGATTTTTTGATTTATTGTAGAGATGAGGTCTCGCTGCCCAGGTGGGTCTCGAACCCGCGGGCTCAGGCAATCCACTCACCTCAGCCTCCCAAAGGCGCGGGATTACAGGCTGAGCCACCAAGCCCGGCTTAGATAAAATAATTTTATGACCTAAGAGATTTTTTTGTTTGTGTTTTTTGAGGTGGAGTTTCACTCTATCGCCCAGGCTAGAGTGCTGTGGCACACTCATGGCCACCCCAGTGTTGACTGCTAGGCTCCGGCGATCCTTTCATGTAGCTGGAACTATAGGAATGTGCTACCACGCCCAGCTAATTTTTTTACTTAGTGTAGAGACAAGGTCTCACCAAGTTGCCTGGGCTGGTCTCGAACCCCCAGGCTCAGGCAATCCACTTGCCTCGGTCTCCCAAAGTGCTGGGATTACAGGCTGAACCACTGAGGCTGGCCTGAGTTTCTATTCTATTATCAAAATGAAACACGTAAACTTCAGTACTAGACTATGTTGTCATATAATGTAGTGGTTAATTAAAAACATGAACTCTGAAGTCTTCTGCTTAGGTACAAATTCTAGTAGGTCCCATCATTAATGACAGACAGGTAGAAGAAATGACATTTACCCAGGAGGCTGATGGCTTATATTTTATTTTCCTGTCTCCAGTATTTATGGCTTATTTTTATTTTAAAGAGAGGTCTATAATCATAAGTTAGATATATAAATATCAGTGGACAGAATACATACGGAGGGAAAGGAATGACAGCAGATAAGTCTGGGATGTAAAAGTGATGAAAACAAATTCTACCCAAAATAATCTTCAAATGCTTTTGCATGATTAAGCCATTAGTCAAAAAATAAGAAACATAAACTTAAAACTCCTCTGTAGCTATGAAATGAATAGGATAAAAGTTGCAGGTCTAGAAAAGTTGGGAGTAGAAGGTTTGAATCCACAAGTGGTTTAGCTTCTTCAGAATCTTATTCTTGTAAAATAATACAGTTTGCTTCATAGTATTGTTGAGAATGCAAATAGTTAACATGTGTTAAACACTACATAAATATAAGGGATTGTCATAGAGTTGTTGATAGATAATAGTTTAGACTATGTTATCAAATAATGTAGTGGTTAAGAACATGAACTCTGAAGTCTTTTGCCTAAGTTCAAATTCTAGTAGACTCCATTGCCTAAGAAGCTGTATGATTCTTGATAATAAGGTACTTGTGGATGCCAAATTTTTTCATTTAGAGATGAGAATATAGTAATCTACACCTCATAAGTTTGTGGTTAAAAAAAATAAGGACTTAAAACAGTGCCTGGCATTGAACAAGCATCTAACAGGTATTTTTTTTTTTTTGAGTAGGAGTCTCATTCTTTATATATATATATTTTGAGTTGGAGTCTCACTCTGTCACTCAGACTGGAGTGCAGTGGCCGCTCCCAGCCACTGCAGCCTTAATCTGCTGGGCTCCGGCGATCTTTCCACCTCAGCCTTCCAAGTAGCTGGAACTACAGGCGCGCACTACCACGCCCGGCTAATTTTTAAAAATTTTTATTTTAGAGATGAAGTCTCGCCAAGTTGCCCAGGCGGGTCTTGAACCCGCGGGCTCAGGCAATCCACTCACCCTGGCCTCCCAAAGCGCTGGGATTACAGGCTGAGCCACCGAGCCTGGCTGGAGTCTCATTCTTGTTGCCCAGGCTAGAGTGCAGTGGCAGGCTCACGGTCACCATAGCCTCGACCTGCTGAACTTAGGTGATCTGTAAGCCTCAGTCTTCTAAGTAGCTGGAACTTCAGATGCATGCCACCATGCCTGGCTAGTTTTGGGGATTTATTGTAGAGACGACGTCTCACCAAGTTGCCTAGGCTGGTCGTGGATCCCTGGGCTCAGGTAATCCTCTCACCTTGGCCTCTCAAAGTGCTGGGATTACAGGCTGAGCCACTGTGCCTGGCCTACAAGTATTAACTATCGTTATTTTTGTGTTATTATTATTATTAGTAGTAGTAATAGGCATAAACAACTTAGGATCTGGCTTCTCAAATCAAGAAACAAGTACTTAGGTGAAAGATTAGATAGAAAAGCTCTGTCTTAGGGTATCACTGCCATGCTTCAAAAACAGCAGATAGGAGTCAAGTTTAGAAGAGTGAAAGGTGGCCTTATAATACAGTAGTTTGCTAGTATATCTGATGGAGTGAACCACCTTAACAATAACACTAGTACTATTGCTCTTTTGAAAGTTAACTACAGAGAAAGGAAGGAGTCTTGGCTCTTGGAACTAGCAGAACAGGCATTTCTCATCTGCTATAGCAAAAGCATAACATTCCCAGCACACATTTTAGCATAGGTGCCACTGTTATAAATACTAACTGAGGGTCAGGGAACCTGATCTAGACCTTATTCTAATATTTGTGTGGCCTTGATTTTCAACATGTACCTGGGTGCAAAGAGGTTCTTGAATGAGGTGATCTAAAAGGCACTTTCCAACTCTAACATTCATATTCAATTTCAGGTAAGTTTCTTTTCCTGGTAACAGTTATGGAAAATAGCTAACATTTTACTGAAATACAGTTCTATAGAACCTCTGTTAGAAAAATGAACATGCTGAATCAACTATAAGCTTAGAGCATATATATATAATTAAGGTTCAGGAAACACAATTACCCACAGTAATGACCGTGAGTATTCTATCATTCTTAAAACTGTCACCAATCCCAAAAGGAGATGCTATAAAAACAAACAATATATGATGCTCAAGCTATCCGGTTTTAGATTTGTCTAAAATTTTCTTTGATAGGGAAAAAAGACATGATGATATTTATTACACAGGACAAATTTAATTGAAACTACGTGGTATAAATCTGAAAAACTGACCAATAAAGTCACCTGGTAATTTTAATACTAGTTAGGCAATAATGTTTTAATTAATGCCTTCCAAATACTGTGTATCATTCTCACAGTCTTAAGCCAGTGAGCTTTTGTTTTGTTTTGTTTTGAGTCAGAGTCTCACTCTGTCATCCAGGCTGGAGTACAGTGGCATGCTCATGGCCACTGCAGCCTCGATCTGTGAGGCTCAGGTGATCCTTCCACCATAGCCTTCCAAGTAGCTGGAACTATAGGCATGCACCACCACGCTCAGCTTTTTCTTAATTTTTTATTGTACAGACGAGGTCTCACCGTGTTGCCCAGGCTGGTCTCGAAGTTGCTGTTGGCTCAGGCAATCCTCTCGCCTCTGCCTCCCAAAGTGCTGGGATTACAGGTGTGAGCCACCATGCCCGGCCTAGCAAGCTTTTTACAGATAAGAAATGTGTCTTGAGGGTCTCAAAAGCCCCAACAGCACCCAGCAGCATGCCTCTGCACCCAGTGGACACTGACCAAAACCTGCTCACTGTGCTTGGGAACCAAAAGCATGACAAGGTGGTAGCTGGAAGAACTGTTCTCTGAAATCTAATTTTTAAACAGATGTCAAAGTGCTACAATTTAACACTGAACTTAAGAAATTAATAAAGTTCATTCTGGCCTAATTTATTAACACCAATAAATATTCCATTTTCCCCTTAGTTGGTTTTTTATATTACTGGCTTTAAATGTAGATTAACAGGAATTCTTATTTTTTCCTTTATTGATTTGGTTTTCCAAAGACGTCACTGAACAATCTCCTTTCAAAATGAAGTCTTTTATCTGGACGCTAGGCATGCTGTTCTTCATATTAATTGACACTGGACATTGCAGAGAAGGACAGTTCAAAATAAAAAAAATAGCCCAGAGAAGATATCCTCGTGCCACAGATGGTAAAGAAGAAGTAAGGAAATGTGCATACACATTTCTGGTGCCTGAACAAAAAGTAACGGGGCCAATTTGTGTCAGTACCAAAGGGCAAGACGCAGGTACCATTAAAGACATGATCACCAAGATGGACCTCGAAAACCTGAAGGATGTGCTTTCCAGGCAGAAGCGGGAGATAGACGTGCTGCAGTTGGTGGTAGACGTAGATGGAAACATTGTGAACGAGGTAAAGCTGCTGAGAAAAGAAAGCCGTAACATGAATTCTCGCGTCACCCAACTCTACATGCAACTATTACACGAGATCATCCGTAAGAGGGATAATTCACTTGAACTTTCCCAGTTGGAAAATAAAATCCTCAATGTTACCACAGAAATGTTGAAGATGGCTACAAGGTACAGGGAACTAGAGGTGAAATATGCTTCCTTGACTGATCTTGTCAATAACCAGTCTGTGATGATCACTTTGCTGGAAGAACAGTGCTTGAGGATATTTTCTCGACAAGACACCCATGTGTCTCCTCCTCTTGTCCAGGTGGTGCCACAACATATTCCGAACAGTCATCAGTATACTCCTGGTTTGCTGGGAGGTAATGAGATACAGAGGGATCCAGGTGACCCCAGAGATTTAATGCCACCACCTGATCTGGCAACTTCTCCCACGAAAAGCCCTTTCAAGATACCACCAGTAACGTTCATCAATGAAGGTGAGTTGCCTTTTACTGGTTTATTTTTTATAATTTATAGAGACAGGGGTCTCACTATGTTGCTCAGGCTAGCCTTGAACTCCTGGCTTCAAGCAATCCTCTTGTCTTGGCCTCCAAAAGTGCTGGGATTACAGGTATAAGCCACTGCACTCTGCCAACCTCTTACTGGTAAAAATGGAATTATATGACTAATACATATTATGAAACAATGCCCTTAATAAATGCTTATTCTTTGTTTTGGGGATGTTACACATACACTAAAAGTTCTATTTTTAAAAAATTATATCACCAATAATTGAATTAAATACATCTCCTCTTCTGTCTCCAAGGTTCTAGGCATTTATAAAAACTTATATGTATTCTGTGAAAAAAGGAGTCTTCCATTTGAATTCTTAAAAAAATCTAGGTAATATTATCCTTGAGACAGGAAGGAGTCCATGCTCCACTTCTAAGCTATGGAGTCTTGCTCCATAACCATCCCAGCTTCACAGTGCTCGACAATCCTTTTCTTTACCTCTTGCTACTCTTACCATCATCCTCTTCAAGAGAAACATCCCAAGTGCTGCTACCACTCTTTGCAAGCCTGTGATTACCCTCATTACCTCCACTCTGGCAGATGACTCATATACTACTGTGCTAAGTCTCATCAGGTCCTCAACTTTGTTCTTTCCCAGCTTGAAAACATCTGTATAAAACCCATGACTTCTTGCAATCAGCCTCGAGAAGAAAAGGTAGCCCTCTTATTTCTCAAAGCTAAACAAACAACAATTTGTGCCCTGTATCCAAATATATGTAAGTTTTTCTTACCATAAAAACCCCTGCATTGATCCTAAGATCCCTATCTCTACTTTAAAATTTCACTTTTTCCTCTCTTCATTCATTCATTCATTCTAGCTTTCTGAATAAGCATTTTACATTTACTTTACACATTTGTATCTATTTTCTCACAAGTCATTCTCCTGAATCATTTACAAGCTGATTTGCTTCCTTAGAGTGGTGAAGAAACCCCAAATGCCCCAAGGTAAAAATATGAGTAAATAAGTCACAATTCATTCACTTATTCAAGTGGTAGAACATAAAACTGCACAAAGACTATAAAATAATTTTAAGCAACAAGAATAAAAACATAGAACAAAGACTGGAAATAAATACATCATCACCTGGTTTTGTCTACCGCAGCAGAGGATATCACCAACCATTCCCAGAGCTGCATTCCTGAATTCCTTGTTACAATATTCTGACTTCCTTGTTAGAATATTCTGACTTCCTACTGCCCTGGGTCCTTTATTGACATCCTTTTCCTTCTGTGTCTTAAAGGCTTTCTTTAAGAAATTCTATTTTAAAGGTCTCATACACCTTCAAGGTTTCAAGTATCATCACTGCTCAGATGACTCCTGAATGGAGCTCTTACTTCTGATTCTAACCCCCAAGTTGGATGTTTGCATCTGGATATTTTACCATTATCTCACATGCTACTTCTTCCTGTATTGAAATACCTTCTTTTAGTTTGTCAATTTAGCAGATTTCAAGGCTTAACTCAAATACCTTTAATGTTAAAGACTTCCCAAATTCAAATAAACATATCTAGATGGCTCTTTACCCAAATCACTTACTATTTCTCAAAACATATTTTCTGTAATTGAAGTTACTTAGGTCTGTCTTCCTGCTAGTCTAAAAGGTTTTGTTTGATAGTGAACTGTCTTTTCACCATTCTATCTCAACATCTGGCCAGGATCAGGTCTGGCATGTTGTAGGTACTTGAGGAATGAATGAATGAGTTAGTAACTGAACCCTAAAACAACACTTTCCCCAAATTAGCATCCTTCTTTTAGAAATAAGTAAATTATGATAAAAGTAATACTTTTTTACTGAAGAAAGTCTAAAAAATAACAATAAACTTACACATTTTTGGAGGTAAAACTGACAGATCCAAATAGTTTTGATTTCTCTCTTTGATTTATGTTGCCACCCATGTCTGAACTAGCTTGGCTCGCCTTTGATACTGTTCATCTGTCCCATACACACAGTAACTGAATTCTATCCATGTCCCTTTTAAGTCTCTCATGTATGTGTCCCTCATTTGTATTGAGAGCCCAAACTCTAACTTAGATTCAAATTACCCATGGCAGTAGCTAAAAGATAGAGACTTCCTGGATTACCTGGAAAAAAAATTTCTCTGTGCTGTAGTTACCTCGCCTGTGAAACGGGAATAATAGTACTTAGAGTTTTACCTTTCAAGAGTGCTTAGAATAATGCCTGGCAATCAGAAGTTAGCTCTTACTAAATAGCCTGTCAAGTGATCTAACTCCATTTTTGCTCTGCCTCAAAATGTATTGTTACACTGTCAACAAATCCATCTTCTTAAACTACCTACATGTCACAGCAGTTCCCCATCACAAACAGAAAAAGTCCAATTTGCTTAGTCCGGCTAAGAAGGTCTTCATCAAAGAATCAAGCCTACTCTGCAGTTTTCCTTCCATTAGTTTCCTTCACAAAAACCACCTGCTCCAATAAAATGAATCCATTCATTTTCTCTTAACTATTTTCCATGCTTTCTGTCTATTCAAATTATAAGGCTCAACCAACCAACCAATAAATAAATAAAACTGAAACTCCTCCATAAGGCTCTCGTTGACTCCTATAGTCTCGAAGTGATTGTTCCTCTCCATGGAGTCCTCTATTCTCTGAAACATATATGTGATATTTCATATATATCCTATTCAATTATCAGTTATCTTCACATGTCCACATAGCTCATCTAAATAAAGTGTCTTCCAACTATAAGCTCTTTCCTGGTAGACAAATATTGTGTCCTATTTGCAGCTGCTAAATAAATGTTAGCTGACTCGATAACACTTTTATAGAGTTTCTTAAAGTTGTCATTTCAAAGATCTTCATGAAAGTACTTAAAAAAAGAAAGAAAGAAAGTACTTTAAGATATTAGGCCAGGCATGGTGGCTCATGCCTATAATGCCAGCACTTTTGGGAGGTTGAGGCAGGAGGGTTACTTAAGCCTAGGAGTTCAAGACCAGCCTAGGCAATATAGCAAGCCCTCGTCTCTACAAAACAAACAAAAAAACCTAGTATGGCATGGTGGTGTGCACCTGTAGTCTTAGCTACTTGGAAGGCTGAGGCAGAAAATCACCTGAGCCCAGGAGGTTGAGGCTGCAGTGAGCCGTGATTGTGCCACTGCCCTCCAGTCTGGGTGACAGAGTGAGACCCCTGACTGAAAAAAAAAGTACTTTATTACATTATATTGTACTGGATTTATTCATTTTATACTGTTCTAACTCAGTAGAGCAACAGGCCAAAGTATCATTAAGTTAGGTAAATGATGATCATTATTAATATGCGCAAGTCCTTTGATTTCCAGAGGGAATGCCAAAGGGAAAATGTGCACAAAAGCGATTCACTGACTATAGAAAGAAAAAAAATATATTTGTCTTTTATATCCTTTTAAACATTTTATGTTTTGTGTAAACATGTAAGTAGAGTGGTCAAGTTCGGAGACAGAAGCGGAGTGGAGGCTGCCAGGGGTGGGGGGAGGGACGGGTGGGGAGTTGTTTAATGGTTATAGTTTCAGGTTATAAGAAGAAAACAGGTCTGGAGATGGACGGTGGTGATGGCTGCACAAAAATATGAGTGTACACAATGCTAATGAACTGTTCATTTAGAAAAGTTATTAAGATGATAAATTTTCAGTTATGCATATTTCACAATTTTTTAACAGATGTGTTATGACAGGTAATTTTATATTTTCTGTTAAAATGGCTATTAAACATGGACCTCAAAAAAACCAAATAAACTTACAGAAAATGATAAAATAATTGTTTTAGTTAAAAAACATTTTTTCAGAAAAGAAATTTACTTCCATCTCTACCTTAAAAACAAACTGTAATTATACACCTGACAAGATGCCATCAATAAAATTTTCAACTGTTAATGTTATTCAGTGGCTGTATTTTGGGTTAGTCTTTTATAAAAGAAAACATTACTCTTTTACAAATAGTATATTTATAAAAATAAGTTTATTCCTTGCAGGAGGGTGTAGTGGACTGGAGAAGGTTCCTTCACAGTGTGTAAAAACATAGATCTGATTATCAGTAAACTTGGATTCTGGCAAAGCTTTGCTGAGGCCTAGGTGCCTCTATTTTTAAAAGAGAAAGTTGTGGCAATTAACGAGGTGATGCAGGTGAAGATGCTTTCTTCATGCTTTAATGTGCACTTCCCTTTATGTGCCTTTTCTTGTCATATTAGATATATGGAGACATAAAAGGTAAGCTTAAAAAGTTAAACTTGCAAAGCAATCACTAGAAACTAAAAATATCCTTTTTAGTGGCCGGCTTATTTTCCCACCAAATATTTACAACTTTATTTATAATGCTTCCTGTTAGTAAAATTTTTTAGGTATAATTGGTTTCAGTGGAACTCTTATATTAGCACAATACAAAACAAAAAAGAAGACTGGCCAAGCAAGGGGGCTGTTGGTATAAGACTATGTCAATCAATTAGGAAAAGGTAGTTGAGAAATTCTTTAATAATTACAAAAATAAAAGCTGAGATTGCTAACTGCAATTTAAAAATACAGATTAATAAACAGTAATTCATATTATTGCAAGAAAGACTCTGTTATTATTTTAGAAAGTATCTGCCTCAAACTTCCCACTCTAGAAATGTTATCGAATTTTTATTGAGTCAGAGTCTCACACTGTTGCTCAGGCTGGAGTGCAGTGGCATGGTACCGGCTCACCACAATCTGAACCTCTGGGGCTCAGGTGATCCTTCCACCTCAACCTCCCGAATAGCTGGGACTGCCATCACTTCTGGCTTTTCTGATTTTTTTTGAGACATAAGTCTTGCTATGTTGCCTTGGCTGGTCTCAAACTCCTGGGCTCAAGTGATTCTCTTGCCTTGTCCTCCCAAAGTGCTGCGATTACAGGCATGGGCCACCATGCCCGGCTGAATATTTTTACTTATACTTAACTCACAACTCAATTTAA